CATCGTGTGCTTGCTTATTTTTAAAAAGGATCCCTCCCTCCCTTCCTCCCTCCCTCCTTGCTCTTGTGACTTGTAATTTTGGTTTTTTGATTGGTGGATTTTTTAAGTAAATAATTGAGAATATGAAATTCCTAAAATGGAAAGTAGGGCTATTTGGTTTGTTTTGTTTTTGTTTGCCAAATATTACATATAAACTTGAAATTTCTTGAATAATAATGATAATAACAAAATAACCTGTCGGAAGTTTTTAAAAGTAATCGTGAATCTCCGAACAATGTAGAATAAAAGTAAAAAGTATCTTAATTAAGAAAGTGAAAACTTTAAAAATTGATCCAAATAAATATGGCGGATTTTTTGTACTTGTATATTTATTTATTTATTAATTATTATATCTTATCATTCGAATTATTTGGATGTTTATTTACATACGTGACCTAACAAGTTCTATTTGTTTTTGACCAGATTATTATTACACAAATAAAGACGATCAATTGAGCCATCGTAGTAACGGTGAAGAAGGGCGTCGTCGTTTGCCTTTAACTCATTTTATTATTTATTTAGACACTTTACTTTTTTTTTATTTACTAAATTGGGGGAATAAACAATTGTCTGGTGTATACATACATATATAAAATTCAATAAATCGAGAAAATAATAACAAACTTTAAATTTCTTCTTTTTTTTCTTTGAGTAAAGTTCCAGCCTTCATGGCTGTATGGCTAATTCGAATGAATTAGGAGTTTGTTTATGTACAAATATATAAAAACCTTATTATTTTTTATTTTATTTATTTACTTTTTTATTTTGAGTATAAATATTTTGACATTATTTTGATTCAAACATTTTAATTAGAAGAAAGACTGGTATGCAATCAAGCAAGGCGAGGCGAGGCAAGTAGGCTTAAAAATTTTCCCCCAAAAAAAATTCCATATTTTTTTTTTAGTAATTACCAACTTGTTGTTACTCACGTACAAAAACATAACAACGATCATATTAAGAAATTTAGTTGTTGGCACTCACACATTACCTAAGAATTTTGTAATACAGAACATGTAAACAGCAAATAAAAATTGTATGTGCAACGACTTCTTTTATGATAAACAGTTTTCTCAACTTATCATCGTCCACACAAACAATAAACAGGTAAACAAATAAACAAATAACAAATGGAATTTAATACTCTTGATCTATTCGACGTACTAAATTAACTGATTTCCTGCAATGTTGCACGATATTGGTTACATCAAAGAGACTATGAAAAACCAATTCACAAGTAGAATCCCTACATTTTTTCTTTAAATATTCAAATTTATCCGGCATTCATGTATCCATCTGGTATAGAACATTACCATTTGATTGAGCTTTGTTTACTCTACCCAAAATTTTGCACCCCAAAATGTTGCGTAAATCAGTGGTGGATATGGATTAGTTGTAAATTTCCGTGCAACGTAAATAAGGGATGGATATCAAGATTTTTTAAATCTAACAAACGTCCTTTTTACTACAATAACAAATCTCATGTAATTGGCGTCTATATACCAACTACATAACTTGGTCAATATTGAAGATAAAAATTTTTAGCCAATAATTCGAAAACTTTTGGCAACATTTTTGAGCACAGACAGGATTTTGGAGACTTATAATTGGTAATGGAAGTTTCTTTTTATCTGTACCATTAAAATTTTTATAATTCCAAAAATTTATACAGGATACAATAACGTCCAAATCGTTCGAATAAGGACTATCTTTAACATATTTGTTTCATTAAAAATTTTGTTGTGTGTAATTGTACGCAAACGGTTAAGAATGTATTTTCCGAAAAAAATTTGGTGATCGATATTGAAAATGGGTTGGTAATTAATGAAAGAGAGAAAAATATTGGAGCTAAAAGTCTTAATGTAAATTATTGTATATACCTAAAAACTGATTGTTTAAACAATTTATTTAAAAAATTATTTATTTTGTTTAATTATTAAATTGATACAATGATGAATGTTAATATTCACTGTTTTCATATATTTGTTTTATAATTCAATAAAGAGCTACTACCATCAATGAAATATACCAATTTTTTTAAAAAAATGTGAATTACAACAAGAGTAGAAGAGGCATTTATATGTTTAGTGAATGTTATTTAATTTTTTTAAAAATCTGTGTTTTGTGAGATCCTTAGCAAGGTAAAGTAGGCTGTTGTTGCATTTACTAACAAATCAAAGAAATGTGCACACTAGAGGTTCTGTTATAGTTTCTTAATTTTATCAAAGGTTATTATTATTCTTTACTTGTTATATTATTCATTCTTTAATACTAAATTAATATAGTGGCAATCATTTAATCTTTAAATGGCTGTTTTATCAAAATTCTTTATTTTTGCAGTCTTCTAGACATGAAAAATATTGTAATAGAAAGTTTTTTTTTGAGATATTTACCTATTACTATCACTATAAAAAATTATTAACAAAAAATGTATGGGTAATCTACGGGATACACACAGGATTTACGGAAAACATACGGGAAAACGTAGGGGATCTTCCAGTGAAAAGTATGGGATAGATACGGGATAGATACAGAATATATATGAAACACACACGGGATTTAGGGAAAACATACAGAATTCGTTTTTCCCCATACGTTTCCCGTACATATTTCATATTAGTACATCATGTAATTCATACGGGGAAAAACGAATTCTGTAATTCCCGTGTGTTTCTGTATCTATCCCGTAATTTTTAGCGCATTTCACCCGTACATTTTCCCTTACCTTTTCCATAAAAAATACTGTTTTTCCGTATGTTATTTTCTATAGTAATAGAGTTGGCAAAAAAAAGTTATAATGGTTTAAAGTTGGATAATTTTACTATTACTATGTTATTTGAAATTTCGGCAACCATCTAAACTGATTATTTTCGCGATATACCGATCATTCACGTGACCAATTCATAGATCTTTTACAAATTTGGATTATTTTATCATATTCAGTTCTTTATAAAGCAAGATCTGCAGTGAAATTTTCGGTCGTGGCGCAACACGTGTGATTCGCACTGCAATACATTTTATATATTAATTAATTAATATTTTTTTATAGAAACTAAGAAAGAAATGAATTTAAAGTAGGGATGTTAATCAATTATACAAAATTTGATTTTTCAGCAATTGATTATAAAATTGATTATGTTTTCCATTGATTTGAAAAAAAAAATCAAGTGTATGAGGGAGAAATAAGTAAATTAATAAATAAGCAAATGATATAATAATAATAGCAGTTGTAATAAATCTTCAAATTTATAAATTTAAAAGTTCTTTGTTGTAATTATTTAAAGATAATATGAATACATGCTCTAGCAGAACTTAAACCATTTATGAAGAAATAAAATATTCTATCACATCATCTAATTTACATAGCCTGGTCCAAGCAATTAATAAAATTTTGTAATTGTCTCTTTTTTTTTCAGTATCAACTAGAGAAATAGCAGAATTAGATGGAGATGAATTTGAATAATATAAAAATATATCACAAATGCTTCCTATTGAAGAAAATGAACCATTAAAATGGTGGTGTGATAATAAAAAAATCCCAAATGCTTACTATTTTAACCAAAAAATATTTGGCAATTCATTCTTCAGAAGACCTTTCTCTGGTGTGAGACAACAATTACTTTGTTATGAAATAGGCTTAGCTCACAACAGTACCCCGAATTATTATAATTGAGGTAACATCCAAGCTATTATATAGTAAATTTTAGAAATTTTTTACCCTTTTAAGCATGTAACATTTTTTATCTTTACCCATTTTAGCATATAAACATGTCAAAAATTAAAAGCTTTACCCATATAAGTTGTCCAATATATTTTTATCTAAAGAACTAAGAAATCATATTAATATAGTTGTTGATGCTCTTCACTAATTCTTAATAAGCCCATATCTGAATCTAATATAATGTTATTATTTCTGAGATAAAATAAATCATTATTTGAAAAAAACAATATGTCAATAATTTAGTAATATATATTTTTTGGTCAGACAAAATTTCGAATTTGAAGCATTGTTGAGATTACTATTATCCCATCCTTATAAAAATAACATATGGGAAAACAGTACATGAACCATATTGTTTTACAGAAAAATGTACAGTTCATGTACTGTTTTCCCATATATTTTCCATACATTTTCAGTCAATAATTTTTTATAAGGCATAGAAAAATATATATCAAATATGCTAACTATGGAAAATCAATTTCAATCAATCTCCAACCATGTTTGCAGGGAATAGTAAGAATGACATATCACCAAGGCTTTAAAAAGGATGGCAGCTTTGTAAAGTGCTATCTTTGTCACACCAACATATTGCATAATACAAAGAATACAGATGCTTACACCAGATACATGGCAAAAAATGTTATCCCAGATATATTCAAAAGCTTGAAAACCATGGATATTATTGAGATGACCTCCTAATAAGTTGTCTCTAAAAGCTCTATAAAATTTATCATGAAATAATTCAAACATCCCTGCCTCCTCTTAAGCAAAAAGGTATACCAACTAGAGAGGATGAGGATGTATTCATAAATGAACTTTTTGGTAATATGAATATATTATGAGAATTTCGAATTTACAATACTGCATATCTCCTGATATTCAGATGAATAGATCAGGCAATGGGTTTTATTAACTTGCTACATTATCTATTTGAATAAATAATTTTCATTATTATATCACAAAAAAAATGAATACAGTCAAAGCTCATTATAGTGGATGCTTGGTTCTGGGCATTTTTGTCCACTATAAAGAAAATCTCTTTATAGTGGACTTATCATAAATAAATTGAGATCAATTTTTTATTAGTAACACATAGTAAATAATTATGAAATAAAACTGTCTAATGTAAGTTGTTTTGCACTATCCTGAACACATTTATGAATTTTTGATTTTAAATTATTAATCATTTTTAATTCTTGATAACTAATTGTAAAATTATCTGGTGGATTTTTTAAATATTGAATCACTTTTCTAAATTATTTAATGCCTCTTTATCAGAAATAACCATTGTTTCCACCTCTTCCTCTTTATCAGAATCATCAACCTCAGGATTTGGCTCTACTGCTCTAATAATTTCTTCATCAGTTAGTTCTTGTATTGGTGTTTTATCATCAATGTAAATAAATCAGTTTGCAGTGATTGGATCTTTCAGGTTTAGTGCATCAATTGAATTTTGTAGTTCAGAAATTTCAACAGAAGAAGTTTGATTTAAATTTATTGCTTCTTCAGCATTAGGTAGGATTTTTGTTTTTCTCCAACAATTTACAATCATGCTTGATTTTACATTTGTCCATGCTTCACTTACAAAATTTATTGTATCAAGAATATCAACTTCTTTTATCTTTACACTTTCTTCTTTTGCATTTTCATATTCTTTTATCCTATTTTCCACCAAAATCTTTCTATATTGAGCCAAAGATTAAAAGTAAGTTAAATAAAATTCAAAATTTCGAAAATTAATAAAACATTCAAAATTTTTTTTGCTCCTTACCTTGAAGCTATTAATGATTCCTGCATCCAAAGGTTGCAAGTGGGATGTGGTGTTTGGAGGAAGGAAATGTTTGATAAAGGTAAATTTTCATTTATTATATGGGTTGGAGCATTATCTGCTAATAATAAAATATTTTGTTTTTGTTGTCTCATCATTTTATTAACCTTTTCAAGATAATTATACCATACTGATGCCTGCATCTAAGCAGTTTGGTTCCAATAATACCAAACTGGCAAATCATCCTTATTGATTCCTTTAAGAACTCTTGGTGTTTTTATGTATAACTAATGGGGGTAATTTATGATGACCATCAGCATTACATGTTAAAGCAATAGTGGTGTGGTTTTTGGATTTTTTAGTACCAGAAATTAAATGATCAGAAAGAGTTTTAGATGGCTCTAAACTCCAAAATAAAGCTAAGTATTTTTAAAAAGGTTATATATACTTTAGTAAGAATTTCAATTCAAATAAATTTGGCTATATTTATACAATTACCAGGTTCATCAATATTATAGACATCACAAAGATCATATTCCCCAATAACTTCTTGTAAAATCGCTCTTTCATCATTTAGTGTTTCTAAAGGTGCACTATTTGCTTCACCTGCTTTATTATATTGTTTTATGCTATAGCATGCTTTAAATTTTGTTTAACCACCCATCTGATCCACCAAAACTTGTTACTTGTAATCTCTCAGCAAAATGTGTTGCTTTGCTTTTTAATATATCCCCATTAATAGCTAAATTTAATGCCAAAGCTTGACTCATCCATAAATACAATGCAGCTTCAACCTCAGGAAATCTAGCACCTCTTTCTCTTTTTAAATTGCTAAATTTTACATTTGAGGTATTAATAGATGTCCATTTATCCTTCTCTTTTATTATATTACCAGCTTGTGATTTCATCTAAATTACATGTAGGGATGGGAACGGTTCCTGTTACGCGCCGCGACGAATAATATTTCCATAATTTATCCGTGACGATTAATATACTAAATTATAGGTGACAATTAATTTGTCTTGTTTTGGCAATCTAAATGTCACCTGTAATTTAGTATATTAATCGTCACGGATAAATTATGGAAATATTATTCGTAGCGTCGCGTGACAGGAACCGTTCCCATCCCTAATTACATGATGGATGATCTCTTTTCTATTCACATACTTCTTTCTCCAAAAAAGTTAAACCCTTTCTTTTCTTAATTTTCTCTTCATCATCACTTCCTTTAGTTCTCTTTTCTGGTAGCATTTTAAATATATAAATAGTACTGAGATATTGATAATATTACCAATTAAAAAAAATTATAACAAGGTAAATGACAAAATGATGAATGATTTTTATTTATTGATTAATATTAAAATTTCATCTGAGATTTTTCTCTCTTTATATAAACAATTCCTTATATAAAAGAAATACTATAACAATATACTATTACAATTTTTTTTTTAAAACAATTTAATTTTGTGTAAATAATTCTTTGTTGTTAAAGAACCAACTAAGTCTTTTTTGAAAATGAAAAGGTATTTTGACACTGCTGAAAAAAAAAGAGGATAATGTATAAATTAATTTATTGTCAAACAAATCAACTAAATCTTCAAAAATGTGAATACTTTCCACTGCCAAAAAAATCAGCCTTCTTTGTTGTTAAAGAAATCAACCAAGTCTTTTTTGAAAATGAAAAGATACTGTTGAAAAAAAGAGGATAATGTATAAACATTGATTTATTATTAAAAAAGAATTAAAACAAGAATACTTTATTGCCACCATCAAAAAAAAGATAATGCACAGGTCAAAATTTATTGTTAACAAAATAATTGTTAGCATATAATTTTGTTGACCACATTAACACTAACCATTAATGTAAAAGATTGCCATAAAACCACATGATTTCCACTATAACGAGATCCACTATAACAAGCTTTGACAAATCCAGAGATTGGCAGACAATCCATGTTGAAGGAATTTTCTTTTTCCGTCTTATCTTTGATAGGGATGATTTCATCAGTAGGAAATTGGTTTGAAGAGCATGGGTTCCAGAAGATAAATTTATAGTATAGCAAGTAACACATTGCCAAATTTCAGATTATGGCAGGCCCATATCCAAGCTGAATGGGAATTAAACAATCAAAATCAATTAGTGCCTCCTTATATAATTGAAGCAATTCCGAGGATACAAGACAGACTGTAGCAATGGTACAAGATGCTTCATGTGAAATTGATCGGAGGCATCAAAATCATATTCCTGCTTGTGAGGAACTTATGGTCACACATGAGGAAGCCTAAACCTTACATTTTGTCAAGAATCTTTTATTGCAACTGGAACAGAAGAGAGTAAATATTATGAGGACTACAAGTCCACATAAAAGTTTCCGGCACTACAGGATTTTAGTGTCGCAACCCTAATTGAATGATTATTTTTTCTACGTAAATTACCAAAATTCTGGACAAATTAACTGGCAGAGAAACTTGAAACAATATGAGTTTTGCATGTGTTTAAAAGTTGGCGGAGACGATGAATTTGTTGTGAATTTATATATGGATTGAAAACAATAGAATATCGTTAGGGTTTCTATTCGAATAAGGCTTATTCAAATTATTTATTTTATTCGTTATAAATTTGAATACTCAAATTATATTGAAAGTTTGTTTGAATAAAACAAATAAAACGAATTCGAATGAAACGAATAAATGAATTATTTGAATAATTCGATCCAATCCAGTTAAAATATTTTTTTCTTTATCAATCAATCTATTTTTCCTTCATAGTCCTTATATAGTAGCAGAAGTCATTGAAAAAAATTTCTTTTCTTAAGTCATAATACTAGTAACCATAGTAGTAATATATACATTAAAAGGAAATAAGACCTTATTTATAATTTTACAAATAGTTAAATCCCTTGAAAATAACAACAATAATATAGAATTTGTTACATCAAGCTGTGAATTAATATTTTTATATTTTCAACATGACTTCATATGATGATAATGAAAGAGAAGGAAGGACATTCCATAGAAATTAATCATTTGGTTGAATGTGATTGTTACAATGATAATTTAAACATGGATTCATATGATGATGATAGGGAAAGACATGATTCCTTGCGAGTTGACGATTTAGATGAGTATGATGGTTATAATGATAATTTTGAAAATAATACAGAATCTAATACGGAATTGAAAAATATACAGACTGAAGAACTTACCGGTCGAATCGAATATTCGGATTTGATTCGAGTTCAAACCAGATTCGAATCAGTAATTTGGGATAGAATAATTCGAATCGTTCGAACCGTTTGAATGTTCGAATTCAAATCAAAAAGGGCTATGATTTGAATCGGTTTGAACCGGTTTGTACGTAATGTTGTTTGGCGAAATGTTACCAAAGCTGTAAAACTATTACGTCAAATTCGCTGCTATTAAGTCCAAAATTGCTTTAAAGGCTAATAAAATACAAAAAAAGCTTATAAATATGTCCTTTTTTTTATATTTTTTCTTGTGTATCCCAATTTCTTTGTTTCATCAGTTGTTCTCAAGGGGCTAAGTTTTTCTTATGATCCAGGATAAACAAAACCATCGATTAGGGATTCGGTACAGGTCAACTAATTTTAGTGTATTAATTATTATCAAAGCTTTTTGTTGTTATTATTATCAAATTACTATGGTTGGCTCGGTCTAAAGACCTCCTATTGCTGCGCCACGCGCTCAAATTTCAAAAATTGCAATTTCGTGATTCG